CCCTGGAATCGTCAGCTCGGAACCAGTGTCCAGTAGTCCCTGAAATGTCTGATCATTTCCCTTTCCCCAGTGCACAGTTTCCCTGGTAAAAGGCCAGAGGTCTCCTTGGGGAAGGATGGGAGAAAGATTTACTACATAAATTGTTGTTAATGTAGTGTGGTCCTTCCTCAAGGGGACCTGGCCCCCCTTCATTCAAGGGGTTCTGGGTCTGTAAACTGGCTTAAGTCTGGAAATTGAGGGGTCATGATTCTCTGTTTTTTTAATTCAAATTAGTCTTCCGTTCAATCTAGAAGTTTTCTGCTTGTATAAATTAAGTGGGAATGTAGTAGGCTTCCTATCAGTTTCACTTTTAGCAACACTGATTAATTAGCCAATGCCAGAGCTCTACATGAGTCAGACTATTCTGATTGCTGCTTTGTTTCCGCTGTCCATTATGGTCACTACGCCCACCTTGACTTTGACGGTTGAGTGCTGCCACTTTGCCCCTACCACCTCTGGATCCAATTATTCCCATTGTATTTAAATTTTGTAGTTGAGTGACTGTGGTTCCCACTGTTAAATCTGCCATACAGAGAAGAGCAAGTAGAGGGCTCTTTAAAGACATAGGTTTTACCCTCACAAGTCTATTTTGCAAGGCATTGGTCAAGGGTATATCTTCCGGACCCTCCCAGCTGTGATGAGTAGGCCTAAAGTGACTAATCCACTCCACCACCCTACTCCAAGGGATCTTAAGCCTTTGGATCGCTTCCTCTATATTAAACCAAGGGAGATCAGGCATTTCCACCTCACTCACAGTGAGCCATCTTTTAATCCATATTTCAGCTAACCAAGCAAATAAATGATTAGAACCTTTTTTAACTCCCCAAGATGCAACATTAAAAGCAGAGTCCCTATTTAGTTAGCCCAAATCAATAAATTCTGCCTGATCCAACTCTGTATTCCTTCCATCATTATCCCATACCCTTAATACCTATTCCCATGCCTGTTGTCCAGATTTTTGTTTCTGTAGAGAACTCAAAACAGTTTGAGTGTAGTGCACATCCTCATGGTTCACATTCTCAATCTCACCTTGAGGGGCCCGCCAGGACTTCAGTCTAGTTATAGGTCTAGAATCAAACAGGGGTGTTGGGGGTGGCTCCTGAGGAGAATCAACATTATTTTTCCTGGTAACTGCCTCAGGGGAGGCCATCACTGTTGCCTCAGGCAGTGCAGCGTTTATCTCCTCAGACAAAGGTGGAAAGACTGATGGCAATGTGGGCCAGGGAGGGGATGCTGTCACTACTGGGAATGGGGAAGCTGTTCCTTCTGGCAAAAAATATTCATCAGCATTTAGAAACTCAGTGTCCCCAGCTTCATCAGGGTCCTCCCACATGTCCTCATTCCAAGTTGCAGGGTCCCATTCTTTTCTAAGCAGTGCCCTCACTTTAACAGTAGACACTTGGCAAGGCTGTGCCAGGTCGGCTACTTTCATGTTAAGAACTTGTGTCTGGTACCAAAACAGAGATACAGACGAATGGAACACAACAGAGGCCTCGGAGGCAACACCACACATCTACAACCATCTGATCTTTGACAAATCTGAGAAAAACAAGCAATGGGGAAATGATTCCCTGTTTAATAAATGATGTTGGGAAAACTGGCTAACCATGTACAGAAAGCAGAAATTGGACCCCTTCCTGACACCTTACACTAAAATTAACTCCAGATAGATTAAAGACTTAAACATAAGACCTAACACCATAAAAGCCCTAGAAGAAAACCTAGGCAAAACCATTCAGGACATAGGCATAGACAAGGACTTCATGACTGAAACACCAAAAGCATTGGCAACAAAAGCCAGAATAGACTAATGGGATCTAATTAAACTCCAAAGTTTCTGCACAGCAAAAGAAACAATCATTAGAGTGAACTGGCAACCAACAGAATGGGAAAAGATTTTTGCAATCTACCCACCTGACAAAGGACTTATATCCATAATCTATAAAGAACTAAAACGGATTTACAAGAAAAAAAACAAACAAACCCGTTCAAAAGTGGGCAAAGGACATGAACAGACATTTTTGAAAAGAAGACATCTATAAGGCCAACAAACATATGAAAAAATGCTCATCATCACTGGTCATTAGAGAAATGCAAATCAAAACCACATTGAGATACCATCTCACGCCAGTTAGAATGGGGATCACTAAAAAATCTGGAGACCACAGATACTGGAGAGGATGTGGAGAAATAGGAACACTTTTACACTGTTGGTGGGAGTATAAATTAGTGCAACTATTGTGGAAGACAGTGTGGCGATTCCTCAAGGACCTAGAAATAGAAATTCCATTTGGCCCAGCAATTCTATTAGTGGGTATATATCCAATGGATTATAAATCATTCTATTATAAAGACACATGCATACATATGTTCACTGCAGCATTGTTTACAATAGCAAAGACCTGGAACCAACCCAAATGCCCATTGATGATAGATTGGACAGGGAAAATGTGGCACGTATACACCATGGAATACTATGCAGCCATACAAAATGATAAGTTCATGTCCTTTGTAGGGACATGGATGAATCTAGAAACCATAATTCTCAGCAAACTGACACAAGAACAGAAAATCAAACACTGCATGTTCTCACTCATAGGCGGGTATTGAACAATGAGGACACATGGACACAGGGAAGGAAGCATCACACACTGGGGTCTGTTGTGGGGGACTAGGGGAGGGACAGCGGGAGGTAGGGAGTTGGGGAGGGATAACATGGGGAGAAATGCCAGATATAGGTGATGGAGGGGTGGCGGCAGCAAACCACATTGCCATGTATGTACCTATGCAACAATCCTGCATGTTCTGCACATGTACCCCAGAACCTAAAGTGCAAAATATATATATATATATATAAAATAAATAAAACAGAGCTTGGGTCTGTTTTTCTACAATTTCAGTTCTTTCTCTGCTGGGGATAAGACACTCACTCAGGGCAATCTTAGCAGATTTGAGGCTCAGTATCTCCTTCTGAAGCTGGGAGACAGAATCCCTGAGTTTATCATTTCCTTTCATCACTTTGTCCACTGAACTTAGGTGCAACCAACCAGCTTCACTGGTTCTCCACATATGGTCAAAGGTATATGTATAGAGTCACTAAACTCCTTGCTTCTCACAAGCAGTGAATCAGGAGTGTCAAATGCATTTATTCTGCATAATTCTCTAAACAGTTCATGCCAAGGACTATCAGTGTTCTCTATACTATGAGAGTAGAGTCTTTAGCATTTTGGGGTATAATCAGATTAAGCAGCCAACTCCAGAAACCCCAAAACCATCCTTTTTATTCTGTTCCTTTAGAACCACTTTAGAACCATTTCTGTTCCTTAAGAGCTCCATCCTTAATATTCTGTTATTTTAGAACTACTCCTGTTACCAAAACCTGTATTAGTCATGGTTCTCTAGAGGAACAGAATAGTATGTGTATATATAAAAGAGGAGTTTATTATTGACTTACACAATCACAAGTTCCCAGAATAGGCTGTCTGCAAACTTGAGGATAAAGGGGAGCCAATCTTAAGTCTCAAATCTGAAGAGCTTGGAGTCTGATGTTCAAGGACAGGAAGCATCCAGCATGGGAGAAAGATGTAGGCTGGGAGGCTGGGTCAGTCTTTTATGTTTTTCTGCTTGCTTTATCTTCACTGGCAGCTGATTAGATGGTGCCCACCAGATTAAGGGTGAGTCTGCCTTCCCCAGCCCACTGACTCAGATGTTAACCTCCTTTGGCAACACCCTCACAGACACACCCAGGATCAATACTTTGCATCCTTCAATCCAATCAAGATGACATTCCATAGTAACCATCACACCACAATTTTTTTTTTTAATTTAAAAAAATTAGCCAGGCGTCATGGCATGTGCCTGTGGTCCCAGCTACCCCAGAGGCTGAGATGGGAAGAATATTTGAACCAGGAAGTTGTGAGCCTTGATTGCACCACAACACATTCTAACCTGGGCAACAGAGTGAGATGCTATCTCAAAAAATAATAGTAATAGAAAATAAAAATAAAAACAAAGTTATAACTGACAGTGTTAACAATTCATGAATTTTCTAATTTCAACTGAATATCTGTTATAAATAAATACAGGCATTCTGATTTATTATGTCATTAATTTTAAGTATTTTTTAAAACAAGATGATGGACTAATTTAAAATACACAAATATACTTGGACAAAATTCTACAAAACAATTGTAACCAAAGAAAATCACAAACCAGTAGGATCATTTTATAAATACACCAGTAGGAGAGAGAGCAGGTCTGAAATTATTTTTTTTCTGAAGGTCAGTACACTGGATTACACTGGTTCAAGAGCATAACCCAAGGGAAACAATGTTAGACATTCATAAATATTAATGAACATACTAATAAAGTTTCTAAACTTTATTACCTCTAAATTTAAAGTTTAGAAACTTTAAGTTACACTCTGGCATAAACTAGGCCTGGCTAGCTATATTCCCTCTTTTTCTGTGGCGTCTTCCTTTGTGATTTAATCTTTATGGACTCTTTTAACAGGTTTTTGTTTTTCTGGGGGGTTCGGCTATATATTTCTTGGGCCTGTAAATCCTAGTTATATGACTTTATATAACCACAGTTCCTGATATAAACTTTATACAAAATATTAAAGCAGCCAGTGAACAGAGTTCCACAAGTGAACTTTTTATAGAAAACACCTTACTTCTGGTATTCTAAGGATAGGTCTAGTTGGTAGCAACTGCAAAAAAATTCTTACAAAAGTGTGAGCGGTTGGTAGGGGTAGGAACGGAGGTGACTAATGGCTCAATACTACTTTGGAAAATTTTACAGGCAGAAAAATCCAAATTGTAGCTGAAAATAAACCTATTCAGGTAACAGATTTGTGTAAGATGCTTCTTGTCCTTTAAATAGAGGCCAGGGGATATGTTAAAACATAATTTTCATCATTTATTTAAAACTGATTTTAAATGCAAATTTCTGTTATGTAGAACAAGATGCAGAAGGCATTATGGAAACTTTCAAAACATATGAAGATAAAATCCAGCAGTTGGAAAAAGATCTTTATTTCTATAAGAAAACTAGCCGGGATCTTAAGAAGAAACTTAAGGAACTGGTAGGGGAAGCAATTCGGCGGCAACTAGCACCATCAGAGCGTAAGACTTTTAGTGTTACTTTTCATGATAACACTTTCTGTAGCATTTGGCGAAGTCATGCCAGCTTTGTAGTGTAGCCTTTACCAACTGACTGAGTTATTTAGGATTAGATACTTCTATGTTTGTCTCTGTAGATAAAAATCGTTGTCTAAGACTGAACCACATGAGAAGTGAATGAATGAATGAATGAACAAATATATAGATGCAAAGGAAAGCTCAATTATTGATTGTCTGCCATTTGCCAGGGGCTTGTAGACCTTAACTCATTTAATCCCTACATTAACTCTGTAACATAGCTGTTGTTTTTCTATTTTATCGTAAATTAAGCCTTCTGATTATCACCAAAAAAAAAGATGTATGGCAGGTAAGAGTAAAAGTAAAGTTAAAGTATGTATTTTTTTTTTTTTTGAGGTGGAGTCTCTTGTTACCCAGGCTGGAGTGCAATGGCACGATCTCGGCTTACCACAAGCTCCGCCTCCTGGGTTCAGCCAATTCTCCTGCCTCAGCCTCCTGAGTAGCTGGGATTACAGGCACTGCGCCACCATGCCCAGCTAATTTTTTTTGTATTTTTAGTAGAGACAGGGTTTCACCATGTTGACCAGGATGGTCTCGATCTCTTGACCTAGTGATCCACCCGCCTCGGCCTCCCAAAGTGCTGGGATTACAGGCTTGAGCCACCGCGCCCGGCCAAAAGTATGTATTTTAAAGATAAATCAAGTCTTTATATATCATGACTCCTGGAAATTCAAAAGTGTAACAGAACCCATTGTTGAGACAAAGATGTTTCCTTGTATAATTATATGTAAATATGTAGATTAAGTACATTCCTAAATGACATAACATATGACAATATTATACTTTGCAAAAGTAAAAAATACTATGAAAATAATATATTGCTATGATTAAAATATACCCTCTTTAAGATAGCTGAATAGAGAAGAATCAATATTTCTAAAATAATAAATTCTACATTTTATAAAAGAATTAGCTAATAATTTCTAATAATTTTAATAACTTCAATAATTTAAGTATGGTTTATGAAAAGTTGATTTTAAAATCTTTTAGGAACACACTTATTTTTTACCTGGAAAAACTGCTTAAAGATGGGCACATAAAATGTAAGAAGACAATGAAAAATTATATGGATGAGCAATGAAGTGATATATGTTGAATATGTAATAGAAGTAGAATTGGCCAGGCGTGGTGGCACAGACCTGTAGTCCCAGCACTTTGGGAGGCCAAGGCGGGCAGATCATCAGAGATCAGGAGTTCGAGATCACTCTGACCAACATGGTGAAACCCTGTCTCTACTAAAAAATACAAAACTAGCCAGGCGTGGCAGTGCATGCCTGTAATCCAAGCTACTCAGGAGGCTGAGGCAGGAGAATTGCTTGAAGCCGGGAGGTGGAGGTTGCAGTGAGCCGAGATCACGGCATTGCACTCCAACCTGGGGAACAAGAGTGAAACTCTGTCTCAAAACAAAAAAAAAGGAAAAAGAAGAAGTAGAATTAACATAGTTTTAAAATTTAAAAGGCAGTACTATTTAGAAAAGTCATACTAACTTATATTTGTGGCATTTATCATGTATAGACATTCTAAAAATAATTCCCTTTGGCCTTCAAACTCAGGATAGGCTGGGATCTGCTAACTCCATTTTCAGATGAAGGAATTGACACCTAGGCAAGTGACTTCTGGACAGAACAGTAATTATAACATAGTCTTAAGTCCCTCATCTTCTGACTGATGGTTCAGTATTCCAGGTTAAAAGTTGTCTTAGGATAAAGATGTGATGCCAAAGAGACTACACTTTCTGATTCTCAGTTCTAGTGATACAGAGGTGCTTACTAATGTAACTCATTTACTTGAAATACTGCCTGCTATATATAGCTAAAACTTTAACTTGGAACATTACTTGTCAAACATTTAAAAGTAAACAGGTATCAAGTAAGAGATAGAGTAATCACCATAAGACTGCTTTAGCTTTTAAAAAAGTCTACTGTCATATTTGAGGTTTCTGATATTAGACATCTAGTTTGTAAATGGCCTATGTTTATACCACTGAATCTACTAGACATTTCTTTAAATGACAATGAGGTATGGTCGTAGACAGGCTTAAGAAATCTGAAGGCTCATCCTGCTCTTTAACCAAACAAACAGAAATGTCAAACAAAGTTAATTGTGGAGAGGTGTAAAATGAGAATGACACTGTTCTGACCAACTTACCCAGAGTGGAGTCTTGATAATGATGTTGGAGATATTATTTCAGCTAATTTGCCATTCTACCTAGAAACATTTAAATAACTTCTATATTTGGCTATAAATAGTAATATATAGTCATTATAGAAAATCTGAAAATGAAGAAAACAAGTAAGTTATAATCCTACCCACATTTCAGCATAATTCTTTTCATATTTTTCCCATGCTTTAAAATATACAGTTGCAATTATATTGGGGAGAGATATATATATGCTATATCCTATCTTATAATGCTACTCTAATGTAATGACATGAAACAAGGTTTGCTTGAACTAAAAAATATAGCTATTTATATCAAACTCTGAGTTCCATAAAATGTTTTACATGCTTAATAATCAGCATCATAGTTAATAAGTATCTTGGTATTTGGTGCAGTGTTTTTGTTTTTTGTTTTTGAGATGGAGTTTCACTCTTGTTGCCCAGGCTGGAGTGCAATGGCACTATCTCAGCTCCCTGCAACTTCTTCCTCCCCAGTTCAAGCAATTCTCCCTCCTCAGCCTCCTTAGTAGCTGGGATTACAGGTGCTGCCACCATACCTGGCTGATTTTTTGTATTTTTAGAAGAGATCATGTCGGCCAGGCTCATCTCAAACTCCTGACCTCAGGTGATCCACCCACCTTAGCCTCCCAAAGTGTTGGGATTATAGGCATGAGCTACTGTGCCTGGTGGTTCAGTGGGTTTTGATAGAAGTCTGCCTATAAGACTTATATTTGTATTTTCTTTGAATATTTTTGGCTTTTTCAAATTGCAGAAAAATTCATCTTTTGACTAAAAGATCTTGGTCACTTGATGATCATGCCTCTGTTACAGTGTATCTGTTTTCTAACATTTTATAAGGATAAAATCAGTTTTATATGAACCTGCATTCTCTCTACTTATATTTAAACCTATCCTTGTATCAATTTAAATCATTATAAAACTATATGTAAGGATAATAGAGTCAGAAGATCTGACTTTTATAAAACTCTGACAATTATAAAACTCCGGAAGAGGGAAACTTCCTTGTGAAAAATCCAAGTGGGCTTTGGAGTGAGCCTCAGCAATAAGCCTATCTCTTTTCTTATGATCTTTTAAAAATAAGATGGCTTTCTCCTTCCCCCAGATACTGTCACCTGGGGAGCAGGACTTTTTTTTTTTTTTTTTAGAGTTGGCGTCTCGCTCCGTTGCCCAGGCTGGAGTGTAGTGGTACAGTCATGGCTCACTGTAGCCTCAAATTTCTGGGCTCAAGCAGTCCTCCTGCCTCAGCCTCTCCAGTACCTGGGGCTACAGGCATGAACCGTTGCACCCAGCTAGGGAGCAGGATTTTTTTTTTTTTTCCCAAAGGCAAACAGTCTTTATTATGAGAAAGCAGTGTTATCTAGGAAAGTCACACGCTGGTTTCTTTCTAATAAAATGACAAAGCAGATTTCTTAAATAATTTACAAAGGGCAGAAATTGCTCTCGAATAGGCTACCCCTCCCGGCATACCCACAGCACTCTGCATAGAGCATATAAATAGGTACCTGTGAGCCCAGGGTCTTAAGCCTGGAAATATCTCCTATGCCTTCCTCTGAGTCCCTGGTAGGGAAAGTAGGGATGAGAGTGGGGCCCTCAGGAGCCTTGGCACCAGAAACAGAGACAGTGAGTGACTCTGCGGATGACACCCCCAAAACCAGACACCTGGGTACACGGCTAAGAGCTCTCAAACATCGGATGCTAGCAGTTCACGTTACAGATGAGGCAAATACAAAGCTCAAAGTCAGGTGTATAATGAGTTTCTAAGCTCAAGAGTCCCCTGGGGAAAGCAGAAGGCACAATTCTCCCCACCTCTGCAAATTACTCTCCCCAAGACACTCTCGGGCTATGGCTGGCAGTCACTGATGGGTCCAGATGTAGCCGGAGCATGGGGGCTCCAGGCCCCTTGTTAGTCAGGTCCTCATTAGCAGGGGCCCAGGGGTACTGGTGACTCCTGCGGACTTCCTCCAGGAAGTGCATGGGGAAGCACAGACATCCTTGGGTGTGAAGCCTTGGCGGTCAGACAGGGCTTGTTTCCTCTCTTCTGCCATGATGGCTTCATCTAGCTCTTGGGACAGCTTCTGTAGGTGCTGAATTCCCGCCCCCACAGGCTCTAGATCACTGTCAGAGGGGCTCTGTAGACGAGTAGGGGCTCCAGAAGGCTGCCTCTCGCCTCGACTGCCGTAATGGGTGGGCACATGAGCCCATCCGGGCAGAGAGGCAGTGATGCTCCTTCTCCCAGGGGTCTGCAAGTGAGTAGGCAGGGGAGGCTCCAGACAGCCAGGTGTTCTTCTGGCTCAAGCTGTGAGTTGGGGATCCACTGCCCTTCTGTGCCCCTCTCTTCCTCCTCTTGGCCTTCACCTGGGTCTCCACCAGCCACTTGGTGCCACTTTGGCAGGACTCCTGGATTCTCTGGGACATGGCACCCAAGGCACTCTTAGCTGAGCGAGCTGCTGCCTGGAGGCCCTGCTGCCCTGGCTCTGGGGTTTCCAGGCATTTCCAGGAGGGGCCTGCGCGGAGGTTGAGGTTGACGGCTTTCAGGGGCAGCCTCCTTTGGAACTGTGCACAGGGACCCTAGGGCCCCGGAGGAGGTCTCCTGATGGCTGGCCACAGGCTGCAGCTCCTTGCTGTTCTCCAGCTGCTCCTGGTGCCGGAGAGATCTCCAGTGCACGGAGGTCCCCATGCTCTGCCACCGAGAAGCCATCTGCCTGGCCAAGTCTTTTCTGCCCACTACACTCAGACACCAATGCTGATCACACCCGAGCACCGGGAACAGGATTTTTAAAAGCTTCCCAGTGACTCTCATTTACAGCAAAGTTTGAGAGCCACTGTCTGTGGTCAGTTTTTTATGAGTTTCATGTATGAGATCTAGATAGATCATTTGCTAGTTCAGGTTATTTGATTTTGAGAGAATTTAAAAAACTAGAAAGTTATGTTTTAAGCCAGGGGTTACGAATGAGAATGCCTACCTGAGCCAGGGAAGCCAGAGTGAGCAATGGGGACTGCAGCAGCCATCTAAATGGTCAGTGGCAACTGTGTTCCAGCTGCTGTTGCAATTCAGAAACTGTTAACTCATAACTTTTCTAGAAAAGCTGTAAATCTGTATTTTTATATGAAACTTTTCAATTTTTAAATTTTGGGTCAAGTGTTACTACATTATAGGTTAAATAAAACATGTCTATGGGCCAGATTTGACTTGGGAGCTGCCAATGTTGTGTGTTTTAAAACTTTGTCTTTGCAGGACTGAAAGTATACTAAGCATGTATCAATATGTTAAAGTTGGCATTTTTCATTATATTAGATCTAGTACTTAAATGCATTTCCTTTAAGCAAGTTTTTCTCTTTGATATTAGATATTCTTTAAGAACCTCTAGCTTTGATCTCTTCACCGTAATTCCAGTGGGGTGTTCCCCCCACCCCAAGGGAGTATTCTGTCATCTCCATTTTGATGGTGGAAGTTGTGGCACACACCCCAGAGTACATTCAGACAGCAGAACCCTGCTATCATGCTGGGAGTGCCAACCAAGACCAGATTTCCACACATATAATGCCAAGTCCCAGAGTTTTCCCTGGAAATGTGGGGCAGAGCCAGTATTATCCAGTGCTGGCATCACTTGGCCATGATTTGGAATTTACTAGCAGCAAGACCAGCAGAGAAGGCAGGTGTGGAAAGGCACCAGAGGTGCTCAAAGCACTCATGTTTCCAGGGAGTACCAAACCCCCAAAAGACTATTTCTCAACTTTGTTCCATGAATTAAAGTTGTGAGTTACTCACATGCAAGATGGCTATAAGTAAAATAAAAATATTCATATTCACACATCTGTTCATCTAAAATAAGTCATTTAACAAAAAAGTTGAAAAACATTATGCATATTGGATGATAATGTATTTATGTTAAGATATGATTAAAATACCTAATTTTGAGGAAATAATCTCTAATTTTTTGGTTTGGGGATTGTTTTTAGATCATGAGGCTGGAGATGGAGTCCTGAAGCCAGAAGAAGCAGGCATGCTTTCAGAAGAATTAAAATGGGCATCCAGGCCTGAAAGTACGAAATTAAGTGGAAGAGAAAGAGAAATGGACTGTACAGCATGCAGCTTAAGAACACAACCAAATCCCCACAAACTCTGGGAAGATGTCCCAGAATTACCTCCAATTCATAGTTCTTTAGCACCCCCCAGTGGGCATATGTTAAGCAATGAGGATAAAACAGAAATAGATGATAATCAGTTTACAAAATCTCACAGTCGACTACCATCCCAAATTCAGGTTGTGGGAAATGTGGGGCAACTTCATGGTGTTACACCTGTAAAATTATGTCGAAAAGAATTACGTCAGGTTTCCGCCTTGGAACTATCATTGCGACGTTCCAGTCTTGGAGTTGGGGTTGGATCAATAGCTGCTGATTCTGTCGAAGTATCTAAACCAAGTGACTTAAAAACTTAGGCATTTAATAACAGAACTTTCAGTAGACATGTAAAAAGATTCCTTTTTCTAACCTGTTAAAAATGAAAGCTCAAGCTCACTACCTCTTTCCTCAGGATAAAGGAAGAAGGGGAGGAAGGAATCCCTAATCCTTTTATATACTATAGATATGTACATCTTCTGTAACATTTGGGGATTTTTAATTTAAATTCCCAGTAACCAAACACGTTTCCAATACTTGATAACATTTAAGTATTTACATTTACAAATATGCTTAATGTTTTTTCCAGGCATATTTGAAGAACAAAACTAATAATAGACTAAAATATCTAGTATATATTATTATATACATGTACATTATAAAAGTATATGATATGACTATATTATTGTTATTCTCATATACAAGTATATTGTTATTTTTAAAAGATCCAGCTAAATCTTGCTTTTGTCAGAGGGAGTCACCTGCTGCATATGTGGGCTAAGACAACCTGTCAGCTTTATGGATTGAGGCTAATTTACAGTCCTCAGAGCTCACAGAAATGGTCAGTTGTGACTTTTTAAACTTGCTCACTGTTCTGTTTCTGGAACTTTTTTATATTTGTAATGTTGTGTTTTTGGTTTGCTCATATTATGCAATATAAGTTTTCATGTCTTTCCTGCTCTGTACACTCAATATATCTCTCATTATGCTACTAAAATTGGGAGAAATGGATGCTGTTCCATGGAACAGGGAAACAATAGAATAAAACCTAAAGCATTCTAACATTTCAAGAGAAAGAACACTGGTTACGACATCTCTGGTCACATGGACTGTGTCTGTAAAGCTTGAAGTCTGGCCAAAGCATCTTTAATGATCTGATGGGCTTAAGTCAGATTTTTCTCTACAACCTCCGTAGTTAGGTTTTACAAACTGGCTAAACTACATTGGGGCTATAAATATGTCAATGAAATTTTTACTATAATCTCCAAGTTTTTCTGGTCAAAATTTTACTATATAATGTACAATTTAGTTTGGTATTAAGAACTAAACAATTTGCCCACCAAATGTAGTTTGTACTTTTTAACTATACTTTTCAGGAAACATCCATTGTAGTGACCTGAGGAATTATTTTGTTACTTATGTTGTTGTTACTTTTCCAAACTTTCACTTGTAAACCAAAGTTGAGTTTCTTAAACTAATTACTGTTTGGGTGTGGGCAATAGCAAAACCATCCTGACACGGATGCTTACTTAATTAGAGTCACCCACTTCCTTGCTGAATCCATTTTTTCTGATGTAGCACTACCACAGACCTTTTCCTTTTGTCCTTTCCTCTGTTGCCGTGGACTTGAGCATTTCACATAGGACCCAAGCTGTCACCCTGTGCTCAAAGACTGAAGGCTTCCTTTCTCTAGCTGCTAGCCCCTAGGGAGTAGTTTCTTGTTTTCCTTGCTAAAATCCAGTTCCTTTAGGAAGCAGATCAAAACAAAACAAACTTATGAAATGGGTAATAGTTTATCTCTTAAGCATGGTACTAAAATTCATTTAAATTAAATAGATTTCTGTGGACTTATCTGGGAATGAAACAATTTATAATATTCATCCAATGAGTTACTGTTTTCTAAATTTCAAACAACTAATTTAGAAACTAACTGGAAAATTTTACACAAACCAAAGGTAAAACATACATGTTATAAATATGTATAAATGCACTGACCTTTTGCCATTTTATATATATATATATATACATATACACACGTATATATGCAAGGATATAAGGAAATGTGTTTGTATTTCCACAGGTAAAACCAGTATGTGTAAATTAATTATTTCTAATTAGGGCATAACACATTACTTAATCTTACGAAGCATTTATAATTAGGACATTCATTAATAAATACATATTTATTTATAAATACATTATTGCTGTGCCTTGTTGAAGGCACTGAACTGACCTTTTGCCATTATCTATATCTATATCTATATATACACTTATATATAAACACTCGTATATATAGTATTATATATACACTTGTATATAAATATAGATATATCTATAGGGTATACATTATAATTTCATTTTATAATATATTTCATATGATTTTTTATTATATATAGCTATAATATATATAGAGATACACTTGTATTATACATATATATAATGGCTGAAGGTCTGTGCCTTTAATAATAACCACAGCATTTACTTATTTATTTAGAGATGGAGTCTTGCTCTGTCACCCAGGCTGGAGTGCAGTGTGTGATCTTGGCTCATGGTAACCTCTGCCTCCCAGGTTCAAGCGATTCTCCTGCCTCAGCCTCCTGAGTAGCTGGGATTACAGCTGCACGCCACCATGCCTAGCTAATTTATTTTGTATTTTTGGTAGAGACAGGGTTTCACCATGTTGGCCAGCTGATCTCGAACACTTGACCTTGTGATCCACCCACCTTGGCCTCCCAAAGTGCTGGGATTACAGGCATGAGCCACTACGCCCGGTCAATAATATTTTTATAAATAAATAAATACTTATTAATGAAGATCCTAATTATAAGTTCCTTATAAGATTAAGTAATGTGCCATGCCTTATTTAGAAATAATTCATTTAAGAATGTATCCTGATACTGGAATCCTACTTGCTCAAGAAATTAACACATACTTGTTAATTACCTGTGGAAATATGCATTTCCTCAAAGCAAGTCACTAATAAAGCAAGAAAATGGATATCAAAACAACAATGATTAGGTTTGATTATACAAATGTGAGTTGATTTTTAATAACAAAGATATGATTTTTTTCTTCCTTTTGGTTAAACATATATCCTTTATATACGATGACAGATTTCATGCTACATATGCAAACACACATATAAATAATGTGAATAATATATTCTGGAAATGAACCTCTGGTCATTCTAGTTTAGTTGGTGTTCTCACAAAGGAAAGAAAAAATTAGACACCTACCCAAGGCAAGTAAAATTGTTTTTTTACATATTCTAATAATGATTTTACTATTTTTCACATGCTTTGTCTAAACATTTTGTCACTTTATTGCCTTTTGCATGTATATAAAATGTTTGTGATTTTCTTTTGTTTCTCTGTGATAAAGCATTTGAAAAGGAAAAATATTTATACAGTACCAGTTACTTTCCTAATTGTAGAGTGTTATAGCTAACAGAGATGGAAAGTTTTTTAAGTTGGGAACCATAGGTGGTGAGAACATTGATGAAAGTGCTTTTGTGCTTTAATATTTGCTTTATTTTGTTAATGTATTTTTTTTTTGTTACCTCAGTTCTTCATATCTTCATGAACTCAGGGTCCAGAGACTCAGTAAAAATACCTATGATCTTCATTAATGTGGTCTAGATTGCCACTAGCTGTTGCCTTATTCAGTGTAGGCCAATAAAGTGAGGAACGCTTATTTGAGACTAAATTCCTTACATTAAAAAAAAATAAAAGTCTATACTAAGTTTTGGAATGAATGTCATGGAGTGAAATCCTTAGTGGGAGTTGGGTTCTGTGGACAAAATAAATTCTCATACATTAAATGCAAGTATGACATTTTGATCTTTCACGTATTTCCTTAGGCACCTACTCATGACTTTAAAACAGTGGGATATCAGTATTTAAAAGTTGAGATAGAAAGTTACTTATGTCCACAATTCCTCTCTCAACTTCACTGGAATTTTTTAAAAAATTCATTATGTATATTTTACATTTAAAGTTATAACAGATTGTAAGCTGCCTTGATTAACACTGATAATATACTCTTCTACATTTATATTTTCAAAAATTGACATAAAGGTGAGAATGAGATCCATCTACAATAAGCATCTCAAAAGCATTCGGCATGTAGTACTTTTGAGCTTATATTGGCAGAAGTGTACCAAGGGTAGGGTACTGGGGAGCCTCTGCCCAATAAGGAAAAGTATTTTATCACTGTCATTGCTGCTGCTAAAAGCAGGCTGACTTCATAGATTATGTTGTTTTTAAATTATCACAAACGATGCACCCCTTATTGCCTACGCTAAGGTTGACTGCTGTGATTCCTTGCTGTTGGAATGTACTGCATACAAAGCATCAAACACAGGAATAGTGTTTGATATTTATAATGGCTTTTTTTTTTTTTTTTTTTTAAGTCGGAGTCGTGCTGCTGCCCAGGCTGGAGTGCAGGGGCATGACTTCGGCTCACTGCAGCCTCTCCACCTTCTGGGTTCAAGTGATTCTCCTGCCTCAGCCTTCCCAATAGCTGGGATTACAGGTGCCCTCCACCATGCCTGGATAATTTTTGTATTTTTAGTAGAGACGGTTTCACCATATTGGCAAGGCTGGTCTCGAACTCCTGACCTTGTGATCCACCCACCTCGGCCTCCCAAAGTGCTGGGATTACAGGCATGAGCCATTGTGCCTGGCCTATAATGGCTTTCAGGTTGAGCCCAAACATGAATCCATAATAGATGTAATTAGAACAAAGGAAATTATGAAAAGAAATCCCAGAAAAAGTTGATGTTATAATGATGGCTTTTGATATTTTACATAGTTCTCATTTGTCTGTTTTTATATTTCCTTTTAGGAATTTCTTCGATGAGCAATATTTGAAATGCTAACGGTATAATTTGATTAAACCCAAATATATTCAATTAGACCTAGATATTATATTCTACTGGTTAATTATAACACACAGCTCTATTGAGTTATCTCTATAGTATTTTAAGAGCAAAATCCAACAATCTCACAATCTGTTACAACAAGCAAGATCCCTATATCCCCAAGGAACAAAACCATTCACAACAGAAAAGAACAGAAAACGAAATATTTTTCTAAATGTCTACTTAATGATTCTTGGAAATTTAAAATGATCTATTAATAATTATATAATTGAAGTAGAACAAAAGGAATTATTTTAAAACCATACTTGTATTTTTATTGTATTTTTAAGCTTACTATAGCATATATATAAAGCAACGTATAATTTTTCAAGTCCAAAGTGGTAAATATTGTTAGAAGTTATGTGATCTAATGTGTCTTATTTTTAAATGAACCATTCCTTGGACCCCACACCCCAATTACCAACAACAAATTATAGGCATATACTTTTCACTTCCCACAGTGATCCAGGATTCCAGTAGTTCTAAGACAGATGACTGGAGTGGGAGGGAGACAGGAGGGAAAGAAGTTTATGTGAAAGCATTCCATAGACGAGCAAAGGATTTTCAAAAAGTATTTTGAGAGAATATATTTCTCTGGCGTAAGGACTGAAACTTAAATTCAACCTTTGGCTATCTCTACCCACTAAAGAATCCTCTTGGTTAGTACTGACTTTGCCATATAAAAATAGACAACTCAGTTTTTATACTGGTTCCTTTTCCTTTGTTTATTCACTCAGAATATCATGAGAAGAAGCCATCCTAGATTGAATTTGAATAGTAATAGTGGAGCCATTCAATAGAGAATTACAAGAAATTGCAGTTTGGGATAAATTCTAGTGGCCTAACAACCTACACTGAAGAGAGCAGTTAGGTCTTAAGTGGTTTTACCTTTGAAGAATCATGAATGATATGCCAAAACAAACCAAAACCCCCCGCATTTGATTGTAGGCAGAATAGGATTTATTTTTATAAAACAATATCTCAACTAGTTTGCTTATTTTTTCCCCTCTGCTAAAATATCCCTGAATTTTTCTACAAAAAAACCTGTGTATAAAAAACTTTAATTCATGATAACAAACCAGCAGCTATTGGCATGCCTTGAGAGGCTAGATTAATGTTACTCATTTTCATTTGTGGCTTGTAGTTGCACTTCACTGTCCTGTCCTCTACAAGTGAAAAGGAGTGAGGAGTTATCTGAGTTCAACTAATTGACAATTTTGATAATTTAGAACTCTTAAAATTGTCAAAGTTTTGTTGTTACTTTCTAGCATGCTTTTTCTAGATGGGAATAATGAGAACAGGGAAGGGTATCTTAATACTGAGGAGTCAATCTCCTTTCGAAATTCCCATCACCTGGGAGAGTTGGGCAGCATCTGAATTGTTACATTCAAGGCCTGGGCCTAAGCACATCGGTCTCTCTAGACACTTTCCTGGCTAGCTCCAGGTGTCACCAGCTGTTAAGACATGACTAGAATGACACAGGCTATCATCTTATTAATGGAGTACATTAAATAATATTTTCTAAATCAGCCTTTTAAAAAAAATCTATGAATCACTACCCTGCATTTAAAATCAAAATTTTCAAATTCAACACAAAATAATTAGGAGGGAAATTACTATTTTTGCTATATAGAAAATAATCTTGCTTTACCAAAAAAACCTTGATCAAATGAAAGCACTTTGGAAACTGAAGCATCATATATATTTAAGATTAAATTATAAGTAGGTTTTCCATACAGTTGGCTGCCAAAATGGGATAACTGTTTGGCACACATGGTTGTTTATTTTATATAAATGCATATCGTAAGACATCTTCTAAACAAATTATTTATATGTTTTAGTTATATGGGTTATCAACGGTATAAATAAGAGTCTCTGGGAAGACTCGTGAATTCTAACATTTTAAAAACTTGCTGAATTTATTTTTATAGCTATAGAAGTGTTTCATGACTGTTTCTTTGCTTTATGAGTAAAAGAGGATGTTTTCTTTTTTTTTTTTTGAGACGGAGTTTCGCTCTTGTTACCCAGGCTGGAGTGCAATGGCGCGGGTCACCGCAACCTCCGCCTCCTGGATTCAGGCAATTCTCCCGTCTCAGCCTCCCGAGTAGCTGGGATTACAGGCACGCGCCACCATGCCCAGCTAATTTTTTGTTTTTTTTTTTAGTAGAGACGGGGTTTCACCATGCTGAAATCTTGACCTCGTGATCCACCCACCTCGGCCTCCCAAAGTGCTGGGATTACAGGCTTGAGCCACTGCGCCCGGCCCCAAAGAGGATGTTTTCTACTGGATCTTTGAGCACCAGTTTTTGGCTAATTATTACTTTTTTTTTTTTTTTAATAACAGCTACATTTGTGAACTATTGAACTATGGCTAGAAAATAACTTTAAACTGGTAAGAATTTTAGACTCTATTTTCCCTCAAAGAAACTATAAAACAAGAAGTTAATTTTTTGCACATGTATAGGTATATGATCAAATAAAAAGCAAATCAGTCTTCATTTAGCATCTGAGACTTTTAGCTCCTAAATACAAGAAGTGTATTAGAATTAAATTTAACATTACCATAGTGGCCTCTCCTTCATAAACATTCACAGGAAAGCTCATTCCCCTTAGCTTGCAAGTAGCTGCCAGTGTAAAGAATATTTTATCTCTAGTTCATAGAATCTCAGTAGCCAAGTAAAGAGAAGGTCAAGACTTCAAGGGTAATGGAACCTACAATCATAAGTATTCCAGTGGATTGTGAACAAATAAATCAGAAAAGGGTACTAACATACAATTTTCCTGAGTTACCTTCAGTGGTATGAGGTAGTCTTAGTAAGATTTATTTAAAAATTCAGTGTTTCCCATGAGAAAAGAAGGTAGGTTTAAGCATCTGATTATGTGAGTATAGCTGGCCCTTCACCCTTCAGGACATGGGCCAGTACTGTGGGGTTTAGTTCTTATATGGGAAAGAATCCATGCCTCTTCTAAAGGGTGAGCTGGTAGCTAAAGTTATGTATTTTCTGAAAACATCAAAAAATGGTGTTGTCTATATGTAAACATGAAAATTTCCACAGGCTTTTAATTTACAGACATTTTCCTGCTTTATGTTTTCTATCAACCTTTTATTTTTGCTGATAGAGCTGAAAACTAAAAGTCCTATCCCTCAAGGAACTTATAGTCCAGTGATGTTACTTATGGAGAGAGTAAAACAGGGTAAGGAAATAGAAAACTAGGGGTGCTTTTTCAGGTGGAAATGTGTTTCTGAGCTCATACATACATAAAGCTGTAAGAACTATATGTAAACTTACCAAAAAATGCTTTTCTAATGTATGCATGCTCAAAAGGAGCAAGTATCATAAATTGTATCTGAACACAGAAATCACATCCAACCAGCTTTGATGGAAGAAGAGCACTTACAGTTTTAAGTCTTATGTTTGGGTGTTTGATAAATTTTGAATTAGTTTTTGTACATGGTATGAGATGGATGGGGTCCAACTTCATTATTTTACATGTAGATATCCAGTTGTGTCCATCAATTTGTTAAAAAAAAACTAATAAATTGTCTTCATATGTTTGTTGAAAACCAATTGACCACACAGGTTTATTTCTGGACTCAATTTTATTCCATTGGTCTATCCTATGACAGTACCACACTGTCTTCATTATGTAGCAAATTTTAAGTCAAAGTGTGAATCCATGAACTTTGTTCTTCTTTTCCAATATTTGTTGATTATTTGGGGTCCCTTAAGTTTCCATATGAATTTTAGACCAGTTGTAAAATTCTACAAAAAGGCAGATGGAATTTTGATAGGATTGCATTGAATCCATAAATCAGTTTGGGGAGTACTGCC